TTTCAACTTTGGTAGAGACATAGACAGATAGAATTCAGTTAGTTTTTTCTGGTCTTTTATTTAAAGGTCAACAATGTTTAATGAAAACCGGACGATAATCATTGACTATTGCGAAGGTAATAAATACTATTTCGTAAAAGAATAAAGCATTCGGAATGTTATAGATTTGAAATCTTATATCCTCTGAGGGAAGGATCGTCGATGAACAAGGAGGATCCAATGTAGACGCAAAGGCTAGGATAACCAAAGCAAGGGCCGCATTCCTACAATTGAAGAACATCTGTAACTCAAAACAACTGTCAACCAATATCAAAGTCACAATCTTCAATACGGATGTTAAGACAGTTATTTTTATTGTACAGACCGACACCTGGAGAACTACCACAAAAAACATCATCAAATTGGTACAAGTATTTATGAAACAATTGTCTATGTAAGATACTGAACGTCCGTTGACAGGATACCATCAACATCAACTTACGGTGAGAGAGGACAAACCGACTTCCAGCTGAGGAGGAAATTTGGAAAAGACGTTAGAGATGGATAAGACATACATTACGGGAATCATCAGACTTCATCATGAAGCAAGCCCCAACTTGGAATGTTGAAGGCGAACGGAAAAGAGGAAGACCGAAGAACATACTGGTTCAAAAATCGAAAGCGGATATGAAAAGAATGACTGGCAACTGAAAAGAACTGGAAAGGATTTCTCAGGACAAGGTTGGATAGGAAGTGCTGGTAGGTGGCCTACGCTCCTCCACAAGGAGTGGTAAGAAGCGCTAGTAACTAAGTAATTGCCCTCTGAGTTGAATGCTTTAATCATGAAGCTTTTGCTATATTTCTAGACAACATCAACACAAAATTTTAATGGAAGTGATGTATTCAGATTTCTCCACAATCGACTAGCAGTTGGTTCTGTCATTCTTGAAATTGATTGATCGCTGTTGAAACGTATCCTGTTATTATTTGCTGACACTTGAAGAGAAATTCGAGTAGCGTACTTCCATCTGAATCTTATGGGATGATATTGTCTAGAAAGACAATGAAAGTTGTATGATCAAACCAACTAGCTGAGAGAACTCAATTTCAGCAAAACATTATAAAATATACTTGGACAATATACTATCACCAGGTAAACAGTAGATACATTTTGACGACCTTTTACGGTCATAGAATACTTCAATGCCAGAAAAAGGTCTTGATTTCGAGTCTCACGTGTGGGATCGTGGATGAGCACCTCTGAGCAGTCTCATAATAAGACGAAACAGCCGTCAAGTACGTCCAGGTTTTCAATGTTGGTCTAACATCGATTGATTGGTGATCTCGATCAAAAAGATTATTCAATACTTAAGTCAATTAACATTTACACATTCTGACTATCAGCTGCAGAAAAAATGAGTTTGGAAAAAAACTGACTGCATATACAACTTTAGTCAAACATTCGGAGGTGTGAAATAACTTGTAATACAACTAGATAGCTGAGAAAGGTGTGATGTTCTGAATATGGAAAACAAAGATATAACATTTGTGCTATCACAGATGACGAGTATCCTGGTAGGAAAGAGGTTGGTTTTTAGGTGGTATTCATTACAGACTGATATAAGTAAGGGTGTCATCCTATTTTGTAATTCCTCGACGGCCAACACCTATAAAAACTCCAAGCACTAAGTCTAGAAAGTTCTTATTCGGTAGAGCGAACCTAACCCTTAGACAAGTTAGTTGAAGTTTAGTGGTTCAAATCTTCAACTGTAGTCAGTTCTCAATTTAGCATGATGATTATTTAGTGCAATTGATAACAACCCTATCACTTACAACATCACCAAAACCCACCATCCAGAAGCTCCTGTTAAAATCAAGCTAAGGTATCTAAACTTAGTTCACCAGTTAGCAAGCGATCGTTTTGTTGTTGAAAAGTTTAATCTATGGGTAATGCCCATCATCTTGTGGTTCTGAGCTCGATCCCTGGTGGTGTTGAGGATGAGAATTTAGGGATCATATAGTAAGACGAAAGAGATGTCCAGTACTCATTGGTTTCTATCGTGAACCTAGCTGACAACAGTATATGACAGAATATGATCTACAAATTCCGAAAATTCACATGAATTTCTCAACAATACTGTTATTATCAGAAGGGGGGTTTTTGTGGAGATTTAGTATATTCATAGTTGAAAGCGTCAGTCAATTGAATCTAGACTACCAGGGAAAACCTGGATGCGCACTGCTGAGGAATCCCATGATAGGACGAAATGGTTGTCCAGTGCTTCCAGGTTTTCCCTGATGGTCTAGCTTCAATTGACTGACGCTTTCAACTATGAAAGTACTATGTTAATAACCTGTAATGAAACATTAGACGCGGCTAAAAAATATGTTTGTCAAAATGTACTACTCACAAGTAGTTTACAAAGTTGAGAATATGTTTAGTGGAATTTCATTTCTAGGATTCGTTAAAAATGCAGACTTCCACACTAAAAGTGTGATTCTCCAGGGAATTAGCAAATTATGAAGTCAACCATCCTGGGAATGAGACGATGAATGAACAGAAATACTGAATGATGATTGGGTTGGATTGGAAATACACTGAATTCAAAAACATAAACTATTGAACTTCAGACTAGAAGTATAAGTTCTAGACCATGCCTGTGCTTTCTTATCTCCATCAAATCTTCCTTGTTTATCGAAAATACTGTCCAGGTAATTGAGAGTTTCCACTACTTCCAGAGCTTCCTCATCAAGTGTGATTGGGTTTGTGTTTTATGTGTTGTATTTGAGGATCTAGCTCTTTCACTTGTGTATGTTGAGGTATACAGCTGTAGAGTCTGTTGCTAAACTATGTGTCTTTACCTGGATTTATTGGTGTATATGGGACAGAAGAATAAAGTAATCTGCAGGATACAGTTTGTTTAGCTGCATCATAAAGTCAGAAATAGTTACAGTCCTTTGCACAAGGTCGAACAGGGGGTTTGATGTCCATTCTCCATAGGCATAACACGACAGCTATTTTGGACCACTTTTATAACTCTGCTTGTAACCTTTCCAGGATTGCCGTCGTTCCGAAACCGAGATTAAAGAGGGTTGAACATAGGGTCATCATTTCCGCCTCATAGAAACCAAACTTACTAGAAAGACGCTAACCACAATAAATAAGTTAAACCACTTAGAATCTGTCCTGGGAGTTGAAAGATCACTACTCAGAAGAATTATGACATTTCATGTTGAAAGTCGAGATTCTTCGGAAATCATGAATCCGATGCCTTTTCTTACAACCAGAGGAATAAGCAATATACATGATAAACTTCAAGTTCTTTATAATAGCTGATTAGTGTATACACACTAGAACGGTATCTGTAATATCTAGACAGTTGGAAGAAGAGATGTTCTAAGCATGGGAGATTACTATTTCAACCTATTATAACTTGTATGCCTGACTGCCCTGTTTATATATGACGTGACGAGAGCAACGATTTTATTGATCGCACCAATGACACACGAAACCCATACGAGCAGTCTAGAGCATTTGTCGGTCCTACTATCTGCCTAGCTCAGCCAGTTAAGTCCAGAACACCAATAAAAGCCTCTGCAATATGAATCATTGTATTTCAAACATACTGAGTTTATATACCAAACAAACTGACCACATTGTACCAATAAAATAGAAAGTAACATTTATACAAAATTCAGCCAAATGTGGCTGTGAATGTGGGAGTCAGTAATCAATAGACTGGGGATAACCCAGGAGTGATAAATCATATAATTCTAGTTCATAGGTCAAAACAAAGCTCATAATAAGAGGAACACGAATATGAATAGCTTAGTTACTTAACAATTATATAATAGGAAACATACATATCATATTGGTCCATAAATAGTCCTCAAAGTTACCATTCATAATTCTCTCCGGGATATAACATAACTATTATCTTATTACTATTTGATGGTGATTAATAATGAGTTCCTATCCTATTTTACTCTATTTAGGAAGATTTACTTCTATCTTAAACAGTTCTAGTATTCTGATTACAGGTACACCTTGCTAACGAGTGCCAAGTAGTACAAAACCCGGGTCCAGGGTTTCCTATTCACCACCTCCAACCACCATCCTATCTCAACATAGTGCACGCAGTGTCGAGTCACCTAGACTAATGGCCACATTGCAACTTGATCGATAGCATTCGATCAGCACTAAGAATGACTTGACACGCATGACATTGATCACCACCCAGTGATAAATCAATTGTGATTATATCTCAGTCCTATAGGAGGTCGGTCGCGGCCCGAGTATCTCAGTGGTAACGTCTCTGACTGTGAAGCTGAGTGACACGGGATCGAATCCATCAGTGAGCACCAATTCCCTCAAGATTACAGGTACACCTTGCTGACGAGTGCCAAGTAGCACGAAACCCGGGTCCAGGGTTTCCTATTGACCAACTCCAACCATCATCTTATCTCAACTGAGCTTTATTAATAAATACAATCAAAATATTGTAGATATGATCTATAATAGTGAAAACAATATAGTATGTTATTAATATTGGGGAATTGATATTTTAATAGTTGAATTCATGATTCAGTTAAGGATAGACCACTATAGAAAACGTGGACACACTGGACCGCTATTTCGTCTTAATATGGGACTCCTCAACAATGTGCATCAACGATCCTACACATAGGATTCAAACCAAGGACTTTCAGTCTCTCGCTTGAACGCTTAACCTCTAGATCACTGAGCAAGCTCGCATCCAACGTCGTTGATGTCTAACTTCAATTAATCCATTAACTCCTTTTTAATTTTCCCATTTCAATGATACTGATTATAGATATAATACTTAATAATTTCATTGTGTATTCATTTTCTTAAAAAAATATTTTTAATTAGTTCTTTTCTAATTGAATCTAATCTGTCTCCTCCCCCCCCCCACCTCAGAAACAAAGAAAGTAGGAAAGTAAAATAAGATCCTATTTTCTGATAGAATTCATCTATTCACTTGAAACTTTTCATTTTTATGTCAATCAAATTATTGGATGATAATGAAATTTTGAATTTTTATAATAATAATAATGATATTAATAGTAATAATAACGATAGTAGTAACAGTAGTAGTAGTCGTAGACATAGTAGTGATAGTGGTAGTCGTAGACGTCGTACTAGTAGTAGTCATAGTAGTAGTAGTAGTAGTCGTAGACATAGTAGTGGTAGTGGTAGTAGTAGTAGTCGTAGTCGTAGTAGCTGTAGTAGTAGTCGTCGTACTAGTAGTAGTCATAGTGTGGTGTGGTCTACTTATATCCATATAAGTAGTATATGGTGTGGGTCAGACATAGGATGTATTTTGGCAGAAGACCGATGAGCAAAGAACTGAAATGAAGCGCAATCGTCTGGAAAATGCATGAGCAATGGAATTAGAGAAGAAACAGTGAAGATTGAAACAATTGGTTGTTAATTTGCAAATTGACTGTACATTGTATGGTTTTCAGAATTTACTGAGATAGTCTGTAATCTTTGCTTAAATACATTCGATTGTCCCCAACCAGTGTTTTGTTCACTACATTTGGTGTCGCTGCCAACCGGGAGGAGGAGGGGTGCTGTTCTGCGGACGCCGCTGCGGGTCTGGAGTTGAGGTGCTTGTTGGGGCAGTCTGATGCGGAGGGGTGGCGTCGAGTGGAGTGTTCCGGCGGGGCGGCGTTGGCTGTAGCGGGTGCTGTCGACGGAGAGGAGCAGTGGGACGTGCGGCTGCTGTGCGGACATCGGATGTAGATGGCTCAGCAGGCCGGTGGAGTACGGGTGTTGAACGTCCCAGGTGCCGGGTGGATGCGGATGTTGGTGCCCCGGCAGGTCGACGGAGCTATGGAGGTCAGCGCGCCGCAGACTCGACATTCCGACGGAGAGTTTGGCACAGACTGCAGTGAAAGAAGATAGTGGCGTGGCGAGCAGAACCACCGCATGGTCGAATGCTTTAAAGGGGGGACGAGTGTGGTGTGGTCTACTTATATCCATATAAGTAGTATATGGTGTGGGTCAGACATAGAATGTATTTTGGCAGAAGACCGATGACGAAAGAACTGGAATGAAGCGCAATCGTCTGGAAAACGCATGAGCAATGGAATTAGAGAAGAAACAGTGAAGATTGAAACAATTGGTTGTTAATTTGCAAATTGACTGTTCATTCTTTGGTAATCAGAATTTATTGAGATAGTCTGTAATCTTTGCTTAAATACATTCGATTGTCCCCAACCAGTGTTTTGTTCACTACAATAGTAGTAGTAGTAGTAGTCGTAGACATAGTAGTGGTAGTGGTAGTCGTAGTAGTCGTCGTTGTAGTAGTAGTCGTCGTAATAATAATAATAGTAGTATTAATAATAATGAACCAACCCAATTTTCGGATAAATAACACTCAATCATTAAATATTTTATTTATTAGGTAAATAAAATCAGATATAAATGACGCCAAAACTATTCTAAAGAATAAACCTCTTTATGATGTTCTTATCCTGTTTCACAGTTTGTTTAGTTTTTCAATGGATGGACATAATGAACAAAATTGATTGTATTGGCAGAAATAACAGTATTCAATGATGCAGGTATACTACTACTACTACTACTACTACTACTACTACTACTACTACTACTACTACTACTACTACTACTACTACTACTACTACTACTACTACTACTACTACTACTACTACTACTACTACTACTACTACTACTACTACTACTACTACTACTACTACTACTACTACTACTACTACTACTACTACTACTACTACTACTACTACTACTACTACTACTACTACTACTACTACTACTACTACTACTACTACTACTACTACTACTACTACTACTACTACTACTACTACTACTACTACTACTACTACTACTACTACTACTACTACTACTACTACTACTACTACTACTACTACTACTACTACTACTACTACTACTACTACTACTACTACTACTACTACTACTACTACTACTACTACTACTACTACTACTACTACTACTACTACTACTACTACTACTACTACTACTACTACTACTACTACTACTACTACTACTACTCCTACTACTACTACTACTACTACTACTACTACTACTACTACTACTACTACTACTACTACTACTACTACTACTACTACTACTACTACTACTACTACTACTACTACTACTACTACTACTACTACTACTACTACTACTACTACTACTACTACTACTACTACTACTACTACTACTACTACTACTACTACTACTACTACTACTACTACTACTACTACTACTACTACTACTACTACTACTACTACTACTACTACTACTACTACTACTACTACTACTACTACTACTACTACTACTACTACTACTACTACTACTACTACTACTACTACTACTACTACTACTACTACTACTACTACTACTACTACTACTACTACTACTACTACTACTACTACTACTACTACTACTACTACTACTACTACTACTACTACTACTACTACTACTACTACTACTACTACTACTACTACTACTACTACTACTACTACTACTACTACTACTACTACTACTACTACTACTACTACTACTACTACTACTACTACTACTACTACTACTACTACTACTACTACTACTACTACTACTACTACTACTACTACTACTACTACTACTACTACTACTACTACGACTACTACTACTACTACTACTACTACTACTACTGCTACTACTACTACTACTACGACAACGATGACTACTATTACTACTACTACTAATATTACTACACACATATGCGCACTACTACTAATACTGTTGTGAATATGTACACACGAATGTGGACAACAGTTTGAATTTCGTACAAAATTGTATAATATTTTCTTTAAATATGGGAATTATGTATTGAATAGTTTATTAGCAACTTTTTATCATTTGTCCTTAACATTCTGTATGATTCTTTCGACTCATTTTTCTTTCCTAGTTCCGCTTCTGTTTACTTCAAGTAGACCTTCACAACTTTCTACTGTAAGGTTTTCATATCTGGTTTACATATCTGAGCAGTATCATTGATGAACACGGTGGATCTGATGCAGATGTGAAGGCACGGATCGGCAAAGCAAGATCAGCATATTTACGATTGAAGAATATCTGGGACTCAAAACAATTGTAAACCAACACCAAAGTCAGAATTTTCAACAAAGGTGTCAAGACAGTTCTACTGTATGGGGCGGAGACGTGGAGAACTACGAAAGCCATTATCCAGAAGATACAAGTGTTTATTAACAGCTGTCTACGCAAGATACTTCGGATCCATTGGCCAGACACTATCAGTAACATTCTACTGTGGGAGCGAACAAACAAGATTTCAGTGGAGGAAGAAATCAGGAAGAAGCACTGGAAGTGGATTGGGCACACTTGGAGGATATCACCCGAATGTGTCACAAGACAAGCCTTCACATGGAATCCTCAAGGCCAAATGAGAAGAGGAAGATCAAAGAATACATTACGCCGAGAGATGGAGACAGACATGAGATGAATGAACAGCAACAGGATAGAACTAGAAAGGTAGGCCCAGGACAGAGTGGGTTGGAGAATGGTGGTCGGCGGCCTATGCTCTATTGGGAGTAACTGGCGTAAGTAAGTAAGTAAGTAATTTTATCTTCATCATTAATAAGATGATGATGATGAAATCAATTCAGAGTACTCTTATTTCATGAATTAAACATATTCAGTTTATCATAATCATTATGTTATTGAATATTTACAGATTAGATTTATAAACACTTTACCTTTATTCAAGAATAAGTTTCTAGGATCATGTTTAGAAAACTATGTAAAAGTCTTTCTTTCAATCCTTCCTCATTATTTCTCATTACAATTATATATAATTTCATAAATAAGACTAGAGGTAACCTCTAGTACGGGTGTTGAACGTCCCAGGTGCCGGGTGGATGCGGATGTTTGTGCACCGGCAGGTCGACGGAGCTATGGAGGTCAACGCGCCGCAGACTCAACATTCTGACGGAGAGTTTGGCACAGACTGCAGTGAAAGAAGATAGTGGCATGGCGAGCAGAATCAGAATCCTTCCTCATTATTTCTCATTACAATTATATATAAATTCATATATAAGACTAGAGGTAACCTCTAAAAGGTAATAATCACCTTGCTTTTATTGAATTAATGATCATTCAATGAATAAATTAGATCAGAAATCTTTCTTTCTAATCATAATTTTGTGGTGAACAAGAACATGAGTAAGGAACAATCGAATGTATCTGGCATGAAAATTACAGACTATCTCACTAAAATCTAACAACTATACAGTAAACAGTTAATTTGCAAAATATCAATCAATTATGAATAATGGCTAGCACTGGAATCCAGGACACACGTATCGTCCTATTTGGGACTCGTCAGCTGGATGTACCTGCATCTCAGAGTTGATGTTCACTCTGGGACTCGAATCCAGTACTGTTCGCTTCAAACACATTCAACTCTGGAGTTCAGGCACATCTAACTAACAAGTCTGAAATAGGACGAAACACACGTCCTGGATTCTACTGCTATCTACTATCCATCTTTGCTTATAATGCTTATGACTTTAATCAATATCAAGGCAATACGCACAGTATTCACATATACCAATTAGAGACTGATCAACTACGGTGCTAAACATCAATGAGAAGATTCAGGTAAAACATTACCAAGTGAATTCAAACCTCACCCAATTGCACAAGCAAGCGACTATCAGGACTCAGTAGCTGAGTAGATAATGCTATGGCGTTTGAAGCGAAAGGTACTGGATTCGAGTCCCAGAGTGAACATCAACTCTGAGATGCAGGTACATCCAGCTGACGAGTCCCAAATAGGACGAAACGCGTGTCCTGGATTCCACTGCTAGCTACTATCCATCTTTGCTTATAATGCTTATGACTTAAATCAATATTAAGGCAATAAGCACAGTATTCACATATGCCAATTAGAGACTGACCAGTTGCAGTCCTAACACATCGATGGGAAGATTCAGATAAAACATTACCAATTGAATTTAATACTAAAATATGTTTTCATTTTAAAAGTAACAATCGTCTGTTATGAGACAAAATGAGAGGAAAAAAAGGATAAAGAATAATTAGCAAACATTAGTTAACTAAAAAAAAATTTCTGACTACTTATTACTTCCCATCCATTCATTCTATCATTATTATTATCGTTTGCGCTACTCATTCCTACACTCACATACCCATCCATCCATACATACAAGACTTCTCAATGATAATCAACGTCATCGTCATCCTCCTCCTCTTCTTCCTTATTACCTACATTATGCTTCTCATTCCTACACTAACATTCCAATCTATCCATACTACCAAACAAATACAGACATAACTCTTCAATGATTATCAACGTCATCATCCACCTCCTTCTCCTTCTCTTCCTTATTACCAACATTGTGCTTCTCATTCCTATACTCACATTCTCATCTATCCATACTACCAAACAAATACATACAAAACTCTTTAATGATCATCAATGTAATGTTGTAATAATGATCATTGTATATAGTAATTCTAGTGTGAACATCGATTCATTGAAGTGAAACCAAATAATTTTCATTCATCATTTGTTTGAAAGAATAAATAATAAAATAAAAAGAAACACGAAAGAGCAATGAGAATAAACAAAACCACGAAAAAAAAGAAGTTTCCTGTCCAGGATTAGAATATTCGTTACTGTTGTCATTATTACTATTATTATCAGTAGTAGTAGTACTAGCAGTGGTAGTACTAGTAGTAGTAGTAGTAGTAGTAGTAGTAGTAGTAGTAGTAGTAGTAGTAGGAGTAGGAGTAGGAGTAGGAGTAGGAGTAGGAGTAGTAGTAGGAGTAGGAGTAGGGGTGGTAGTAGTGGTAATAGTAGGAGGAGGAGGACGAGGAGTAGGAGTAGGAGTAGGGGTAGGGGTAGTAGATGTATTGATGTCACAATGAATGAGTTTGGTATGTTTAAAGTGTGAAAAGAATACAAAGAAAACTACTGAATTACAAGTCAATCATACAATCAATAATTTGAATACGGTGGAGAAAAAATAGACAAAAGATGAAAGACCTGAAATTTAAAGATGAAATAATCATCATCATAATCATGATAATGATGGTAATAAAGATGAAAGAAAATAACTGTCAACTTGTAATAAGATGTCATACAATCAGCTGTACTCACCCCCCCTTACTATCCATGAAACTAATACTGGAAAAAAATATCAATTTAAGATGGGTATCTTAGAGAATAAAATATTTTCACTGTAAAATGTATTAAACGGGCAATTAGGTTGTAAATGGCGTTGAGGTGCGATGGACTATGATCATCACTACAAAGAGATTATGTGCCAGGTATCGAGTCGGATTCCTCGGTAAGCCAAACACCAGAAGGCTGTTAACGGTTGAAATGAGGTATATTTGTTGGCGATTTCGTGGTATCGAAAGAATACCGAGATTGTGTCAAAGCTTAGAAGCGTAACTGTCAAGCGTAAGCGAAGGAAAAGTGTCTTCGGTACAGTTGAACAAATAAGTGCAGTAAAACAATCACTGGTACAATTGGCTATGATGATAATTGTTTCCATTATACCAATCGCGTTCTCGTCACAAAAGTACGTCACAACAAGGTTTTCAAAAGTAAGAGAGCATACAAAATCACCAACAGAAATAACGGAGAGTATCAGAAAGGTGACTTGATTATACCGTAAAATATTGCCATTAAAATATTAGTTGACTAAATAAAATCAATTAACAATGAGCACCAACATGGAGACTTATTAGTGTAATGTTAATATAAATTTGACTTACATTTTCGAAATTTTCTAACAGCTTAATATACCTAATTGTGCAAATTCAAATCGTGTATTATTCTGTGTAAGTTGGTTTGTTTATTTAACCGTTTACGACTGGTTATATATATTCTGTTATCTCAATTGATTGATTACTGGGTGGTGATCAATGTCATGCGTGTCGAGTCCTTCTTAGTGCTGATTGAATGCTATCGATCAAGTTGCAATGTGGCCATTAGTCTAGGTGATTCGACACTGCGTGCACTATGTTGAGATAAGATGGTGGTTGGAGGTGGTGAATAGGAAACCCTGGACCCGGGTTTCGTACTACTTGACACTCATCAGCAAGGTGTTCCTGTAATCTTGAGGGAACTGGTGCTTCCTGACGGGTTCGATCTCGTGTCTGTTCTGTTGTTTATTTTTACTTTCTTCTATGGATCTCTGAAATGAACTGATCGATTTTCAATCCATTTAAACTCTATTCATTTTTTATGTGGCCGAGGAACTTCTATGTATTTGGATAGGTAAAATCAAGTCTAATTCCAGACACAGAAAAAGTGGGAGCTCATTTTTCTCTTGGTCTACTACTGTGTGAAAGCAAATTATTGTCTCTCACAATCTTTTTGTATCCAGACGGAAGAGTCAATGCATTCAATAAAAGGGATGTCGTAGTATTTGGAGAATCATTTGCTTCGTTTGGATAATAGCTGGAAGGTAAGCCAATATTTCCTCTGTTTAGTAATCAGATACCGTTGATTTTATATAAAATTTCTTTTCTGCTGAAAGAGATGGTCGATCTTTTATTATGGTGGTTGTTTATTTTCCCAACTACCTTTAAATTGTCCGGAACATGAGTGTGTTCCGTCAACTACTTTTTAGTAGCTTCATACTCCGTACACTATGTGACCTATATTTTGCAGCACGATATATCACACATCTCTAAATCTTTCTGTAGTTAATGACCTTCTCTTTCACTGAATGGTCCTTCACTATCA